TTTTTGTTATAAAATTTTCAATTGGGACTTACAAAATCTTTCTTATATTAAGAGTTTCTTATATCAAAGGTTTCTTATATCGAGAGTCACTTGTAATAAAATTTTTCAGCAAAACAGATTATAATAAACTACCGGATAAAAAAGAGATTTATTCAAATCTAATTAACAGACAAACAAGATTATATATTTATAAAGTTTACATAATCTCAAAGTGTGATTTCATAATATTACGTTAGGCGACTTGAAATTAAAACCTCATTTAACGTTATCCCCCTCTCCATTTACAGGTATCCCCTCAAAAATTAAACAATTAATAAAGTTAAAAAAAAAAAATTCTGGTTAATCATCTCTAGGTACAACTTCAATCTGATTTAGGTTCCGATGAACCTAAGTTTGGTTCACATGAACCTAGTTTAATTTTTCCCTTCCTCCCCCCATGCAAATTTTTTAAAAGAATAACGTTAAACGAGGTTTTAATTTTAAATCGCCTTTTATATATATATATATATATAATATATATTTTAACAGAATATCAAATCTTTTTGCTCGGTTTTAATAACTAATAATAATTTTGCATAAATACAAAAATACTAGAATAAAATTTTATTAAAGTTTTGTTTTTTTTTTTTTTTTTTGTTCGTTTCAAACGAACTAGACAAAATGCTCGATTCGATGTATGATATATTATAATAATAATAATAAAATAAAATAAAAAGTTAAAAAAAAAAAAAAAAAAAAATTGATAATAATTCGTCAATAAAATACCCATAAAAAAAAAAAATTACAATAACAAAACTCGTAATAGAATAGAAAGGAATTATGTACAAAATTTTGCCTAAAATAATTCAGTAAAAAAAAAAAAAACAACCCTCCAAAGCAAATAAAAATAAAATTATCTACAATTATAACGCGTTATATATTATTGCAATAAAAAGATCTTCTAGAATGGGATTTTTTTGTTTTTTTTATATATATGTTAAAGCCAAAAATAATAACCGAAATAATAGATGAAAGTGATAAATGAAAAATTATAATAAGAGAAAATAATAAGAGAAAATAATAGGCGGTAGAATTAACCCTCTCCTCCTAATACTGTAGAATGATGACAAATAACGCAAAATACGTAAAAGATATAAGAAAAAAAACACATTATTCCATTTATATCGAATTATGATCTTCCCAAATTACTAAATTATTCAAAATAATATATATAAAATATATATATATATAAAAATATAATGATCAATAATTTTCACCATGTTCCAACATCTTCCCAACTTACACCTTCCAAGATTTCTTTTAAACTATTTTCATCTACAGAACTTTTTTGCCATCCACTAAGTAATCCTTCTGGTTCATTTGTAATACTTTCTATATCTTCTTCTGTAATTCCTACAGCATCACCCATTGTTATACATCCCAAATGTCCTGATTTTCGTCTTAATTGAGCTAAATATCTTAGTGAATCACATGTTACTAATCTACATCCAATAATAGTAAGACATACGAGTGAAAAACTATTATTTGCAATTGATTCAATAGCACAATTTGTTATAGAGTTCATATATGATAAATCAAGTAATTGAAGATTAGGACATTGTTTTGCCAACATTATAATTGATTGATCTGTAATTTCATCATCATATATATTATTATTATTAATATTTTGAATTATGCCTGTTGTTGTTGTTGTTGTTGTTGTTGTTGTTGTTGTTACTGGAAGAAGTGAAGGACTTGCAAGAGCTGATGAATAAACAGCTTCTAATGGTGAAGGACGAGCTAAATTTAACCATTCAATATTATCTTTACATGTATTAGCAATAAGACGAATAGTATAATCAGTAATTCTACCAATTCTAGCAATATCCAACCAACATAAACGTGGACAATTTAATATTAAAGCTTCAATAGATTTTTCAGTAATTCTAGGGCAATCTGATAAACGAATTTGACGTAATTTTGAACAACCTTTTGCTATCATTATAATACTTTTATCAGTAATCTTTCCACAATCAGCTAAATTCAATGAATTTAAATTTTGACATGATTTTGATAACATCTTGATTCCTAAATCTGTAATCTTACGACATCCACATAAACTTATAGAGATTAAAGTTGAAGAACATTGATTCTTAGAAATTGATTCTAAAGAAATATCAGAAATATGAATACAATTATTTAAATTAATTACACGTAAATTAGGACATGAATGAGCTATAGCTTGAATTGTTGAATCAGAAATATAATCATAACCATATCCAATAGATAAATCTAATATTTTAATAAATGAACCATATTTTTCTAAAGGAAAATTTAAAGGAAGTCTAGTTTTTGAACTTAAAGAGGATTTAAATTTTGTAGATGATAAATGTGTTGAAGTAATTTCATTTAAATCTACAATGACATCCATTGATGAAAAACGATGATAAATTTGAGGAGATTTGTAAAGAAATGGAGTAACCATTAAATACCAAACTTTACAAACAAAGAGACAAGAATAAAAATCTTTTCTTGAAGGTAAGAAATCAAATATGCAAAGCATTATTTCTGGAGGCATGTGGAGAATGGTAATTTTAATAGATTTAGGATTAATTATAACATTATTAATAGTATCGTCAATTGGAGGGAATAATTGATGAGACCTTGTTGTTTGACGAATTCTTAAAGGTATAATAGTAGAGTCTGGTGAAAGATCACAGATTTTACCATCAGGAAAAATTGAATCTTTTCCTCTTGAAATAGCAGAAAGTTTACCAACTAATTTACGTCTTTGCTCTTCAGATAATTTCTTATTTTTAATAAATTCATTGGTTGAAGAATTTGAAGCAGATGAAGTAGAAGGTATAGTATTGTGAAGATGTTGTCTTCTCTTTTTCCCACGTGTATATCCATTTCTGATATTAATATTGTTTGTTTGTAAAGAACTATAAAGAGTTTGATCGGAAACATTTTTATTGCTGGTTTTAGAGATTAAAAAATCCAAATATTCTATTATATAATCAATATTTTTTATAATTGTTCTTTTGAGTATAACACTAACTAATATTATGATAGGACCACAAAATAAAAGAATAATTGAACGTAAAAAGGTAAAACTTGCGTGTATTAAGTAATGCATATTGTTTGTGAAAAAAAGGAAAAAAAAAATTTTTTTTTTTTAATAGTATCGCGTTTTCGTCGTCCTTTTCAACCTTGATATCTTGCACGAAAGTCAAGGATGTTTGTATATATAATATGTATATATATATATATATACGTATATAAGATTTATATATATATGTATAAATATATTATGTATTATATGTATAGAAGATAATTGTTCTGTTTTTTTTAAAAAAAATATTTATATATATCAGATATATAATAATAATAATTATAAGATGAAACTTTAGAAAAGTCAATGCAATTTAATAAAACTACTATTAGATAATTATCATGATGGATAATATATATATATATATATATATGTGTACTGTATTCGTACTCGTAAGAAACAACTTTTTTTTTTTTTTTTTTTGTTTTGGAGAAAGAAAAAAAAAATTGTCAGACAATTAAATTTGAGCACGGGCTATATATATGTAAAATCATACAATTTTTTTTTTAATCTACAGCACATCAAAATAAAAAAGTATAGAACGATGATCGAATAATGGGCTCAGTATTAAATTTTATTTGACTAGTACAATCTACCAAAGTTTCCGTTATTGGAAACAGGGCACTTTTTACAAGTAGCCTTTAACAAAAAGATTAAGAAACAAAATATAATATAATTTAGTAGGAAAAATATAGATGAATTATTAAATATTATTCTGTAGTTGTGTAGCATGGCTGTAAAAAAAAAAAGTAAGGAATTAGATAATTAGATTCTGTCAACGTGATGCAGTTCCTGCGTCAAGAATTATAATTGAAAG